CTGGGTTTTGTCCCTCAGCTCTTCAGCTCAAGGCTAGCGCTCTACCACTTGAGCCACAGCGCCACTTCTGGCTTTTTTTCTGCTTATGTGGTGGTGAGGAATTGAAGCCAGGGCCTCATACATGCAAGGCAAACACTCTACCACTGAGCCACCTTCCCAGCCCATCTTTTTTTAAGCTTTTGTATACTGGGATCTCTTTTTTATGAGGGAAAATAACACAAGTCAGTAGCAATAGCATTATGGCTAGGTGCCAAGGACTGACCTACAGCTCTCACCAAATCATCACCAAAATGCCAAGATGTGAGCATTATTCCCATTAGATAGATAAGGAGGCTGAGGTCCAGAAAAGCGCAGGCGCGCACACACACACAGTCCAACTTGGGCAGCTACATTGTGGCCTCTCTCCCTCCCTCTTTGGAGACTTTTCAGAACTCTTCCAATGAGTCCCACTGTGGTTCCCTGAAGAGCTTGACTGTGACCACAGAGCATGACCTGCAGGCAAGTGAGGGGTGACCACTCACCATAGACCCGCTGCCACCAAATTGCCAGGGCCGTGAGTCCACAGAAAAAGAACACGCAGCCCATCACGGTCTTCCACTCGTTGGTGCGCCGGTTCATCTCTGCGAACGTCTGATGGAACTGGAGGCGGTATACTGGAGGCAGGTAACAGGACCTGAGATCCAGCCAACCCAGGGACTCTGGGCCAGCTTTTGGCCCCAGGTGTCCCTGAAGCTGATGGTGTTTATCCAGCAGATACTTTTTTGTTTTTTTTTTTGTGAGGTTTTTTTTGTGTGCCGGTCCTAAGGTTTGAACTCAGATCCTGGTCCTGTTGCCCACCAAAGAGATGAGTTTGGTTATACTCTAACTCTTCTGTATAGGATGAGGTTTAGGTATGGAAGTATACAAACAAGCCTTTATTGGGACTTAGACTTGTATGTGTGTGTGTATTGGAGCTTGATTTGAGCTCCTGGTCACTGTCCCTTAGCTTTTTTTTTTTCCCCTCAAGGGAATTAAAAGCTCTATCACTTGAGCCACACCTCCACTTCCAGCTTCTTGGTGTTCAATTGGAGATAAAGAGTCTCAAAGCCAGGCACTGGTGGCTCAGGCTTGTAATCCAAGCTACTCAGAAGGTTGAGAGCTGAGAATCACAGTTTGAGGCCAGCCGGGGCAGGAAAGTCCATGAGACTCTTATCTCCAACTAACTACCAGAAAAACAGAATTGGAGCTGAGGCTCAAGCACTAGCCTTGAGCGGGGCACAGGTGGCTCACGCCTGTAATCCTAGCTACTCAGGAGGCTGAGATCTGAGGATCGAGGTTCAAAGCCAGCCTAGGCAGGAAAGTTTCACACTCTTATCTCTAATAAACCACCAGAAAACCAGAAGTGGTGCTGTAGCTCAAGTGGTAGAGTGCTAGCCTTGAGATGAAGAGCTGAGGGACAATTCCCAGTCCCTGAGTTCAAGCCCCATGACTGACAAAAGAAAAAAAAAAGTTTCATGGGTCTTCCTGCTGGCTGGCTTTGAACCACAATCCTCAGACATGTCACCCCCTGGCCGGGAAGCAGGGAGGAGCTGTCTATATGGCACACCCTCCCCTGCTGTCCCCCGCCAGCCCTGAGAGCACCTACAGGCCACCTTCTCCTCGGGGCTCAGCAGGGTCCAGCTGCCCTTCTCCTTCTCCTTCAGGGCCTGCTGCTCTGCGCTGAGGTCCGTGCAGAAGGGCTCGTCTGGCATGGGGTAGGAGCGCTGGGCGTAATAGTTGGTGTACGGAGTCATCTTCCCAGGGCTGTGGGCTGCAGGTACAAGGGAGGAGGCTGGACGCCAGCCACCCACCTATCCCACCCCTGACCAACATAGTAATAAGACATGCCAAGGCAGTTTTTGTGTTTTTTGGTGCCAGGTACTACAGCTTGAACTCTGGGTGCCAAGGTCTTATTTGCCTTTTTTGTCCAAGGCTGGCACTCGACAGCTTGAGCCACACCTTCGCCACTAGACCCTTTTTGCATTGGTTATTTCGGAAGGACTGGCTTTATGCCCAGGCTGGCCTAAGATGTGATCTTCCTACTGGTGCTTCCCCACAGTGCTAGGGCAGACAGACAGGACTATGCCAACCACTGTGCTGACCCTAAAGCGTCATGCGACACTGTACCCAGCCATTGGGTGAGCTGGCATCTCACAAACTTGTATGCCTCAGTTAACTCTGAACCTGGATTGCCCAATTTCTGCTAGGTAGCGAGGTTTACAGACTTGAGTTGCTATAACCGGGCCCTTCCTTCCTTCCTTCCTTCCTTCCCCCCCCTCTGGCTTTCTTGCTTTTTTCCAGTCCTGGGGCTTGAACTCAGGGCCTGGGCACTGTCCCTGAGCCTCTCTGTGCTCAAGGCTAGCACTCTACCACTTGAGCCACAGTGCCACTTCCAGCTTTTTCTGTTTATGTGGTACTGAGGAATCAAACCTAGGGCTTCATGCATGTTAGGCAAGCACTCTACCACTGAGCCACCTTCCCAGCCCTGTAACTAGCTCTTCTGAGGCCCCTTTTGGGAGAGCCAGGCTGTTTGGCTGAGTGGCAGCCATCTCCTTGTGGCAGATGAAAGACAAGGAGCAGCTTAGTGAGTTAACAATCACAGCGAGGATCAGGGCCAGAGCTGCGGTTTGCCCCACCCCCAAGCTGTGTTCTCTGGGAAGATCTGAGCCACAGAGATCATGGTAGGCAGAGGCTCAGAGCCAGCTTCCCGACATGCTAGACCTGAACCTGGACCTGAATGGTAAGCACAGCCTTGGCCAAGGGCGGAGGGCACAGCTTTGGTGTCCAAACTCCATTTGGAGTCACCCCCCTCCAAGCCCCGTTCCCTTACAGAGCCTCAGTGTCCTCCATGCAGAGTGGGGACCAGAGAGCTTGCTCACACTCCTGTGGGAAGCTTCCAGACAATGCTTAGTAGATACTCAGTAAACCCGCTGGAGGAACTTAGCCCAGAACCAAGGAGCAGGACCAAAGAAAGGGAGTTGGAAGCCAGGGGTTGGTGGTTCATGCTTGTAATCCTAGCTACTGAGGGGGCTGAGATCTGAGGATCAGGGCTTGAGGATCAGGAAGGAAAGTCCATGAGACTCTTAGCTCCAATGAACCACCAGAAAACTGGAAGTGGCGCTGTGGCTCAAAATAGTAGAGTACCTGCCTTGAACAAAAGAGCTCAGGGACAGTGCCCAGGTTATGACTTCCATCCCCAAGGCTGAGGGCTGAGAGGGGGAGGAGGGGGAGGAGGAGAGGAGGAAAAGAAGAAGAATTAGAATTAGAAGAGGAAGAAGAGGAGGAGGAGGAGGAGGAGGAAAGAGGAGGAGGAGGAGGAGGAGGAATTGAGGCGCTATCAGCCTGCAGAAAGGACCTTTGCTTGGGCAGTAGGCCGGGAGAGAGAGGTCCTTGTCTTACCTGTACCCCCTGGGCTGTGTGTCCCCCGAGCCCCCAGTCCTCTTGTCCTCAGCACCACGCTCCTGGCGACTCTGGAGAACATCTGGGAGGTGGTGTGGATGAGTTCTGCCCCTGGCAGCTCACTAACTGCTCAGAGGGACTAGACAGACTCTGGTATGGGGGAATCACTGAGTTTCAAGTTCACCTTTATGCTGCGGACAAAAGTCAGTATCCCCACCATGGAGATGAAGAATCCTGAACCTGTACCCCCTTCCCCCACCCGGACCTGGTTTACTAAGAACTGGGAAAAGGCTTAAGTCCTTAGGTAGGGGTGAAAGGTTGGGGGTAGGGGCCTGGCCTGAGGTGCAGAGGGCTGGGGCAGCTCCCTGGCTAGGCCAGGGACCCCCCCCTCCTTCAGCTGTCTGTCCTCAGAGGACAGTAGGTGGGAGCCCAGGTTGGGATGAGCTGGGGCCATCTGCAGAGGTCCCTGCGCAGATGGCCGCGGCCCCCCTCCCCCCTCCCCTCGAATTGGCTGCCTACGTGCGCCTCCTGCCCGCCCGCGCCGGCACCCCCACCCCATGCCCGGAAGCCTGGGGTCCAGCATCCCGCGGGCTCTGCGGGCCGGGGACAAAGTGGGTCAGAGGGAGGGAGAGGACCGCACATCTGGGGGGGGGGTCATCGCACTCGGGAGGGAGGAAGGGGTGCGCTTTCTGGGTGAGGAGGGAGGAAGGGGTCCATAACTGGGGGAGGGAAGGGTGCCCCGAATCTGGATGGAAGGGGTGCCCCGAATCTGGGGGAGGAAGGGGTGCCCCGAATCTGGGGGGAGGGAAGGGTGCCCCGAATCTGGGGGGAGGGAAGGGTGCCCCGAATCTGGGGGGAGGAAAGGGTGCCCCGAATCTGGGGGGAGGGAGGGTGCCCCGTATCTGGGGGAGGGAGGGTGCCCCGAATCTGGGGGAGGGAGGGGTGCCCCGAATCTGGGGGATGAAGGGGTGCCCCGTAACTAGAGAGCAGTGTGCAGCGTGAGAGGGGCCCCAGGCAGGGACGGTCGGGCTGGCGCGTGTGCGCGGTGGGGACCTAGCCCTCGACCCCACGGCGGCGGCAGGTGTGCAAGCCCCCCCCCCACGGCGGGGTCCCCAGCCGCTCACCTGGGCCGGAGACCGCGCGCAGCCCGCGGGGGCTGCAGAGGCGTCGGAAGCTAACGGAGCCCGGCGGAGGAGGAGAAGAAGGAGAAGGAGGCAGCGGAGGAGGAGAAGGAGGAGGGGGAGGACCCGAGCGGCGCCGCCCCGCCACGTGGGAACGGCGCGCCCCGGCCGCCCCCAGCCTGCGCGGCCCGCGCGCACAGCCCGCCTCACCCGTGGGTGCGTCCGGGGGGCCCAGCTGCCGTACCTCCCCCCTCCAGGAAGAGCTCAAGCTCCTGCATCTGGAGCCGCCTCCCTCCCCCTGGCATCTGCGCCCACTGAACCTCCCTCTGGGCCTCAGGAGCTGTGTGACTTTGAACAAATGGCCAACCTCTCGGAGCTCCCTCTCGTTTCCTTCCTGTAACAGGGAGTGTATTGTTGTAAAGGTGAGGAACCGAGGGGTTTCATGACATAAATAATGAATGCAGGGGCTGGGAAGGTGGCTCAGCGGTAGAGTGCTTGCCTTGCAAGCATGAGTCCCTGGGTTCGATTCCTCATCACCACATAAACAGAAAAAGCCAGAAGTGGTGCTGTGGCTCAAGAGGTAGAGCACTAGCCTTGAGCTGAAGAGCTGAGGGACAGCACCCAGACCCAGAGTTCAGGCCCCACGACTGGCAAAAAATAAATAAATAAATAAAATAATGAATGCATTTCTTTCTGAAGAGTGTTACCCCCTCCCTAAACTACCTCTCAGCTCTTCGGCTCGAGGCCAGCGCTCTACCACTTGAGCCACAGCACCACCTCCGGTTTTCTGGTGGTTTATTGGAGATAAGAGTTTCACAGACTTTCCTGCTAGGGCTGGCTTTGAACCTTGATCCTCAGATCTTAGACTCCTGAGTAGCTAGGATTACAGGCTTGAGCCACTGGCACCTGGCTAAACTACAATTCTTGACTGACATTTCTTCCTCGGGTGGTGGTGATAACAGAAAAGACCCAGATTCGTTCATTCATGGACTATTTATTGAAGTTGGGCTCCTCTGGAGGGAGACTGAGGCAGGAGGATTGCCAGTTTAAGGCCAAACCTGGCAACAGCTAGAGCCCACCGCAAACAAGTGTGTGTGGAAGGTGATACAACTCAACGATCGAGCAATGGCATAGCACAAACAAGGCCCTAGTAGGATCGACCTCCACCCTGCAAAAAAACTTTAGGAAGTGGCGCTGTGGCTCAAGTGGTAGAGCACTAGGCTTGAGCTGAAGAGCTGAGGGACAGCGCCCAGGCCCAGAGTTCAAGCCCCATAACCGGAAAAAAAAAAAAGAAAGAAAATTTTGTTTTGAAAAAAATTGATTCTGGCTGGTGAATGTCTATAATATCAGCAGTGGATGGTGAGCCTTGAGCACAAAGGTAGCAAGACCCTGTCTCAAAAACAAAAGGGGGCTGGACACTGGCAGCTCAAGCCTGTCATCCTAGCTACTAAGGAGGCTGAGATCTGAGGATCAAAAATTCAAAGCAGCCTAGGGTGGAGACCTTTATCTCCAATTAACCACCAGAAACCCAGAAGTGGTGCTGTGGCTTAAAGTGGTAGAGTTCCTGAGCACAAAAGCTCAGAGAGCACACCCAGGCTCTAAGTTCAAGCTCCAGGATTGCCACATGCACGTGCATACACACACACACACACACACACACACACACACACACTGGACCTGCCTAGAAAAGTTCTTGAGACTCTCATCTCCAAATAACCAGTAAAAAAAAAAAAAACTGGAAGTGGGGGTATGCCTCAAGTAGTAGAACAGCAGCCGGGCATCGGTGGCTCAGCCTGTAATCCTAGCTACTCAGGAGGCTGAGATCTGAGGATCACAGTTCAAAGCCAGCTCAGGCAGGAAAGTCCATGAAACTCTTATCTCCAATAAACCACCAGAAAACCGGAAGTGGTGTTGTAGCTCAAGTGGTAGAGTGTTAGCCTTGAGCTGAAAAGCTCAGGGACAGCGCTCAGGCCCAGAGTTCAAGCCCCATGACCACCAACAACAAAAAAAGTAGTAGAACACCAATCTTGATGAAAAAGCTCAGGGACAGTGTGCAGGCCCTGAGTTCAACACTCGGCATCAACACATAAGAAAGAAAAAAAGAAAGAGAGAGGAAGGAAGGAAGGAAGGAAAAAAGAAGGAAGGGAAGGGAGGGAGGGAGGAAGGGATGGAAGGAGGGAGGAAGGGAGGGAGGGAGGAGATGGTCAAATGCATCAGATCATGAGTTCAGCAAATGTCCTGGAGGGCCTAGTAAACAGAAGAGTTTATACACTGTGGATGGAGACCACAGCTTTCCAGATATCCTGGAACCTACCCATGAGGTGTGCCAGCTCCCACCCATCCATCCGACCTGTTCCAGACAGTTTCAGAGAGAAAGACCAGCCCAGAAGGGCAGGCACACAGGGGGAAATGCTAGAAAGAACCTGGAATGGAGGATAGATGGAATGCACATCAAGTCTTCTGGACAGACCCACAGAGCTTTGCAGAAGCAGCACGGGGAGGAGGAATTCCACCAGCCCCCGTTCCCAGGACTGGCCCTGCAGCGCCCAGCATTCTCTGGTGCCCACTCCTGGGAGCTGCTACTCCCCTTCCTCCAACCAAGGTCATTTCAGAAATACCAAGGGATGGCTTTACCTCTGAGACATAACCAGAGTGTGCTGTAAAGTAGCCTTAGGAAGAGAAGACAGGGGAAAATCTTTCACCCAGCCTAGGGGAGAGCTCTCCAGTGTCCTTGGTTTGGTTTTGCTTTTGAGACCGATAATATCTCACTATATAACCCAGGGTGACCTTGAATGCTTAATCCTGCCTCAGCCTGGGATACAGGCTTGCACTACCATGCCCAGCTATGCCTGGAGTCTTGTCAGAGTTTCCAGAATAAGAGGGTGTTGTACTCTGGAAGGAGTGGTCTATGTGTGGGCTCTACTGCGGCCACACTGAAAGGCCACAACAGCACCATTTCTGGGCCTGTTTCCCATCTCTCACAGGGCCTCCCCAGGGAAGGTACTGGAGAACACGACCCTCAGTTTTCCCTGACCTTTCCCAGCCTGCCTCTGTGGGAACTCCGGCCCCAGATGTGGCGTGATGCTGTGATTAGAAACATCTGTGTGGCAGCCCCACCAAGGCTGAAGACCAGGAGGTGAAGACTGGCTCCCTGCCGCTCCAAGCAGATAAGTGGTAGCTTTGCCGCCTGCTGGGCCATTGTGGTCCAGAGCTGGGGTTGGGGAGGGGTGTCACTGGGCGGTCCTGGGTGGGGAAACCGGTGGGCCCAAGAGTGGGGGACACGGAGGTGGGGCATGGCAGGGCAGCCCTAGCAGGAGCCCTGCCTGCGACGATGGCAGGCTACGACTGTGGAAACCGCAGGGAAGAGAGGTGAGGGGAATGGAGGAGGAGGGCCCTGCTGTCAGCACCCCTTCTCCATGGGGCGGCGGGTCCCCTGCATTAAGGGGCAGCCTGCACCCCTTGATCAGCTGCAGAGAGTCTGAGACGGTGCTGAATGGGAAGACCCTGGTCCCAACGCTCCGCTGCGCGCAGGACCCACCTCCAGATCGCCAGACCAGAGGGGAAACTGAGGCTGAGGACGACGTGGGTACCACGTAGGACCTGAAGATGAAAATAAGAGGAGGGCTGGGGATGTGGCTCAGTGGTATCGTGCTTGCCTGGCATGCATGAAGCCCTGGGTTCAATTCCTCAGTACCACATACACAGAAAAGCCGGAAGTGGCGCTGAGGCTCAAGTAGTAGAGTGCTAGCCTTGAGAAGGAGGGGGGGAGGAGGAGGGGGGGGAATGAGGAGGAGGAGTGGGAGGAGGAAGAGGAATAGAGAAAAAGAAAAGGAGAGGCAGGACAAAGCCCTAGACCTGTGGGGAGATGGGCGTGGTTAATCCGGGGGCGGGGACTGAGCGGGAGAGGATGGCCAACCCGGGCGCTAAGGAGGTGTGTCCATCTGGTAAAGGGCGGGGCCGCTGCGCAGTGGTTGTAGCCCGGCCTAGCCCAGGCTCCTGCAAGAAGGCGAGCTGAGATGCAGACTCCCAGGTACCGGCCTTCCAGGTCCAGGCTGACCTCCCTACCAGACTCAGCTCCTGGAGCCAGTCCAGAAAAGGCTTCTCAAACTGCAAAACGAAGCCAGGCATGATGACTGTGCCTCTAGTCCCAGCTACGGTGGAAACTGAGGTGGGAAGATGGGTTGAGCCCAGGAATTGAAGACCAGCCTAGGCAACCCAGCGAGCCCCACCTCTTGAATAAATAAAATAAAACCAGAGACACAGGCTGGGTCAGAGCAGTGGCTGGATTTTTTACCTCAAATGGCAGGGAAAAGGTGATCCAGAAATCCTCTGTTTTGGGCTGGGATGTAGCTCAGTGGCAAAGCGCTTGCCTAGCAAGTGCAACGTCCTGGGTTCGATCCCCAGTACCAAAAAAGAAAAGACAAAAAAAATACAGTTAAAAAAAAAAAACCCAAACAGAAATCCTCTGTTTTGTCTGTGCCAGTCCCTGTGTCTGCTTAAGGATTAATCCATTGTGTTTCAGCCCCTGTGTCTGCGTAAGGCTTAATCCATTGTGTTTATTTCCCACTAGTAGACTGTTGTCCCTTCACAAAGCACTTAATGCAGCCATGCTGCTCCTGATGATAGCAAACTGGACCTGGGCAAGCACTTGTCAGCCATGTACTCAGAGCTAGTTATTCCTCTCAGATCCTCAGCTTCCTCATTCATAAAATGTGACCCTGGGCTTTCTCTGATCCTTGGAGAGGCTGAGGCTGGAGAATTGGGAGCTTTAGGCCAGCCTAGACCTCATAGTGGCTAGTGACACAGCTCACACACACACACACACACACACACACACACAAGCAAGTTTGTAGAAAATTGCACAGACTATGATTCTATGTATATAAAGGCAAAAATTGAGTAAGCATTAGCATGTTCAAACATGCACACTGCTACATGTATGGAAAAAGAAAGAACAAAAAATTATGAACACAAAGTTCTGCATACAGGTTAGGTTTTGCAAAGGAAGGTGGAGATTTTACCCTCATGGGCACATACATCAAAAGAACTAATACTCTATTCGACAAGCTGGGTGATTGGTAGTTA